AAAAAAAGAACAGCAGGCAACAGCAGTAATAGAACTGAGTATTTTGACAAGAGAATTGGGCTAGAGGGTAATGCCGTTGGAAGAACGAGTCTATTAGGAAAACACAAAGTATATGATAATGTATACATGCGTTGGCGTTCGACGTGCGTTCTATTATTACTATCCACTTTTCTCACAAATAATGACGATAAAAGCCTGTATCATAAAAGAGAAAAGAAACCGACTGGTTTATTTTTCCATCACCAATACTACTCATCATTATTATTAACAGTAATAACAATAACTTCGAAAGTTTTGTTACAAACAAAGAAAAAGGAAATAAAACGAATTTAGTAATACTAATGTCAATCTTAGAGAGTATTGAAGAATTAAAAAAAAGAGAGGGAAGATACAATCATTTGACATTGTCTATATTATATTGTGATGAGTGAATTGCGTAGTCAACACAATTGATTATCGACAATGTGCACATTTCTGTCCAAATGAGTGATGATGAACAAAATCAAACTGTAAAAAATTTTCACACATTTTACCTTTCAATAGTTGTAAAATTTGATTTAATTAAGAATTTATAATCAATACGATTGAATCATACACTTTCTTGATAATCTAACCAACGAACAGATTTCTAGTGCGTGTTAAGTAATTAAAAGAATTAATCTCGCTTCATTCAACCTGATATAGGATGTTGAAAGGAATAAAGAGGGAATCTGCTCTAAATCAACTGAATAAAAAGAAGAATAGTAAAAATCAAATTAGACAATATTTGTCACGCATCATCTGTTGAGCATCCATTTCCTTATCAGTATCTACTTGAATAGATACGTTCATTTAAAGAAAAACGTAGTTCAACTTATTTATATATTATATTCATAATAAAATTTAATTAAAAAACTAATAATATATATAGAATCAATTAGTTTTTTTTTTATTATACGAACATATATTTTGATTAATATTGATTATTATTATAGAATTCTTTTGATATCTACATATTGCTCATCGGACACGAACGATACTTAGATCTATAGACATGTGCGTGTCAAAGATTATGTTCAAGTAACTTGATCTCTCGACAAAGTTTAGTCTCTATTTACAGTTTATCGTTATTCGACAACGACTACAATTGTTATAAGACTAAGCAACGAAGAAAAAAAATGTATAACGGAAATATGACACAATCATAGTGTGACAATTGATTCTTTTATTCTCTAATCCAATGATCAATAATACACAATGACAGATGAAGGTGAGAAGAACACGCCTGTTTTTTTAATACCTACTATACCTATCAACATTGACCAGTTATAATATATCAAATCTATAACTAAATAGAATAAAATAACTGATGAAAAGTAATACGATAATAAATGATCTATGATTTGCACATTTGGTTTAACCTTACATATATATAGTATGAATCAAGATGATAAATGTATTTTAATTCTAT